GACACGACGCATTGAACTGAGCGAATTTGAGAGTCTTTCATTTGGCCACTTCTATCTGGACTGCTTTGTGTTTATGCGGTGCAGACTGAGCCAGGGACCGTGATCTAAAAGGACCCATCAGAGTTGAAGTTCGAAGTACGATCACAGTGCTCGATTATTCCCGTGCCGCTGTTCCGCATTTTAACGTTTCCACACTGTTTAAAGTTAGGGAGGAGCTACTCGGCAAGACTATCCAAATTCTATAGTCATGCATGGAAGGAAGAAACCATCCTAGCTAACTGTAGAAAAGCAGATCATAGTGTTAATATATGAGAGGACCAGACACACCATGTTTCATAACCACAGCGGCAGCAGCTTAACACGAGTGGCGACAAACTTAATGGTATCCACCCCTATGCCTGAACTTACTGAGGAACGTAAACCGCGGACGAGAGAAGGATGTGGAGTTCCCTTTTTAGACGAATTTGCATGTCCACATTTACACTCTGAGACGTGGTAGAGCAGCCCCACATGCAGCACCGGCCAGTGGTGGCTACGTCCTTCGCATTCAAGAATGCAGTCAACTCACGTGATAGCTTTGTCCTTCTCGAACAGAGTACAGCGAAGTGTGTTGTTCTGAAACGTGTCCACGTGTTCGGTTTAGGTGAATCGTCTGACTCCATTACGACAACAAGTGATATCCACCGGGGCTGTCCCATCTCTGCACTTTTGTTCAAAATATAGTGGATTTTAGCAAGAATTGGTCGCTGGCCTAGTTTGTCGATTTAGACAAGAAGCTGCTGCCTAGCTACTCCGGTTCATGACGGTATCGCTCCAATGTCCGTAAACCGTGAATTCACACAGGTAACTTTTTAGTAAACCGCCAATAGTGCTCCTGTCTGTCGATGTGTTTCACACGAAAGTGCTTTTGCATGATTACCAGTCGGCTGATGAAGGTTTGAGTCCTGGCAATGAGGAACTGGAGATAGTTGAAAAATTCCTTTATTTTGTAAGCTAAATTGGCAGCGATGAGACGTGAATGCAAATTCCAGAACTGCATTTTTGCATGTGCGACATCTACGCGATTTTATTGGGATTTTCTTCATGCTGCACGGTCACTTGTTCAAGGTCACAGTGGCAACTGTTCTTTTTGATGAAACTGTTCTCGATCTGGGGCACCATCAAAATCCCCTCATCATTAATTGCGCAGCAATGCATCTGTCGGATGGTGCATCCGCAATGATGATTTGCGTAGATGAATGTTAGTTGGTACTAATCGGGTTGCTTCCTCAGAACAATGAATGGCTCTGACTAAGTTAAATTTGCCTAAGCAGATGCCAAGCAAACCTGGTCACGGCCTACTCTGGAGACTAACTTTTGCTAGACGCTGAACCGCGTCAGGCTTGGGGGGTAAAAGTTGACTTAGCAGCGGGAAAGGTATACCCTGACAACTAAACTGACTGTTGTTGGTTTGTCCAGCCTCCCAGTTTAAAGTCAACGCCACCCATCAGGTGTCTGTTCTAAGCTTTTGAGGAACTTATCTCTTAAGCTACACTTCGGTGTATCTGCTGTCGTTTCCCGATCGGAGATCTCTTTTAAACTGAAGGTGGTGCAGTTACTTATGGAGTCAGGCTGATTATTACTAAGGTAGAGAAAACCCAAGGTAACTGCCCTACCGACGCCAACTTATGCTTTCACAACTGCCAAATTTTTAACCATGTGTTGTTATTAAGGGCTTTCCTTCAGAATGCCTGTTTGAATTCTTCAGCAAATTCATCCTTGCATCATTCTGCCCGTTCCCATGTTAGAGTTCGAGATGGTGGTTGACAGAGAGGTTTCAGTTGGATCTGTTGGTGTGTCTTTGTTAGGAATGGAGGTGATACATCGGCGCCATTATCTGTCTCTCATTACCCCCACCTGTGAGTTGACATAGCACTGTAGCTAGCAGACTGTTTAGGATCACGGTGAGCGAATGCCCAACTAGCACGGAGGCGCCATCTCCATCGCATTCCCCTCGGATGCACCGGTTGGTTTCGCCACTGCAGTATTCGATCTTCGTAACTCACGGGCTGCATTGATACGAGCATGGACCAAGGCTTGTGGTCATCGTTATAGAAAGCTAAGTGCAGTCTGCACAATCCCGGTTGAATAATGTCGCGGCACAAGTCAGTCACCGCACTATTTCACATGCCTTTGGGATGCGCACTTCGAATAAACGCTTCTGTAATAAGCTACAACCGCTGCTTCAAACCTTAGTGTCTAGGAACTAATCACATTCGCAGCACCATAACGCGATCAGTCTGTATATCACAGCAGGAAAGAAAAATCCACTTGGGTGATTCGCACTCTATACGATGGCTTGTAGTTGGTAGCAGGAATCAACTCATTTATGCACATGAAGTGTTGGAGCATGCATCAGGATAACTTGGCCAATTCCAAGCATCCTGTCGTCCTGGATGAAATTCTCCCTCTATCATTTCCTCCTCCCCGCTGATTCTTTTTTCTATTCCCTCGGGGCTCCACCAGAATAGTTTCACTACGCAGTTTTCATGCTGTTCTGGGCAGTGCCTCCAAAAGCCAAAAACCTATTATCACACACTGTCCCAATCTTAATGATAGGGATGTGAACTCCTATCTGGCACTCCCCTCGACATTCACGAAGTCCTAGTCTGTACCGTCATGCAATGTTTTCTGTGTATGGTGTTCTCGGGATTCTTAAAGTCAACAGTAATTTCCCAGTATGGCGCTCTGCGCGAAATTGAACATTCATTTACTCAGGCAACTTTCATCCAATGCAATAGGTAAGTCGATATTTTTCTCATCATTCAGCCCGCTAAATCAACTGTAAGCATGAATCGTCCACAGTTAACTTGATGGAATTTCTTTATGCGATTTACAGTTGGTGTATAGCTTGCCACGAGCGAAAAAGTGGGGTGCTCTATTGGTGTGTGAAAACTAAGCAGCCTTTCGGGAAAATAATTGCTTACTGAACTTCTTAGCCTACTAGTTAGCGACTAGCGTTAGCTTGGACGATATATTGCAGTGATAAGCAAGGTTGTTAGGACCCGTTAATTTTGCAGGCAGCTCATGGCATGATCGCCGGCACACGATAAAACCTTACAGTTTTTTAGTCAGTTTCGTTCGATAAGTCGTATCTCGCGCATCCCGACCTGGGACCATACCTGTATGTCAAGCCAGCTTATTAAATCCCGCAGATAAATCGAAGGAAATGCTATTTCTCACGTTCGATATCCGCTTCCACCAATTGCATAAGCTGATTACCCATTACCGTTTTATGGTGAAGCCACTTCAGTTAACCTGTGTTCAAACTAAAGTCAGGAGACCGTGAATGACTCTCGACTCTAGCCACCCATACAATATTTGTCGAAATATTGCATTTGAAAATCTCCAGTCGTCAAACGGTGAGCGATGCACTTAGAAACTCGAACAAGCATCTATTCTGATGCTTCATTAATGTAACTATTATCCACCTGTCCTACTGATGACCGAATGGTTCCATTACAAAATGTGCAATCAAGCAAAAACTACGATGACCTCAGTTCACTTTTGATTGTCTCCGTAGATCCAACAGGTTGAACAGGTTTTTCACAGCCTGAAGCCGACAAAGATGTATACAACCTTTGAATGACTGAACGTTGTGCCCACCGTTAAACTTTTACCAGTATTATCGGGGACATTCTATTAGTAAGTCAGATGAAGACGTTACGCACAATATGGGCACTTTACAACCTTTCACACAAGTTAGGCAACGAAAACACGGAGTGTGTCTTAAAAATATGTGAACATTTTGCCGTTGTTTCTTTGAGTGTCCTCAGCCCGAAACCTCCCTCAGTGTGTTCTTGGGGACTCATAAGCCGCAAGTCAGGTAAAGGCATCCACAGTAGACCACGGCAACATTAAATGTTTCTGTCAATCAGCTTATCATCAGCTTTCGCTGGGGTGCAAAGAGCGTCCCAGTTTTTATTAATGTTGCAACATTCTATGATGAGACTAGTCTGCGTTTGCCTGAAGCCCCTAGAATATCATTGCTTGCAACACGTTATTTACCATGCCCGGAAGTGCTGGGTTGTCTTCCTCCCCGACAATCACAACAAATGCTGGGCTGGGAAGAAGCATGTGTTCTTCACATACTTGATTGCGAACACTGATGCACGTGCACCTTCATCTTTGCCTCTGTCGCCAACTTTGTTAGTTCGGCGCCGTTCTCTACATCAAAATCGACTGATGGGACTCATTTGGACCCACTGGGTGTTGCTGGCAGCAAGCCTTAGTAGCAGCAATATTTGTGCATATTTCATTCTCAAAAAGGAATGCATCGTACTTCTGGAATCATGCCACATTATTTGCCCTTGCAACTTGTTTCATTTACTAGTTTTTTGTGATTACTATTTCACATGCACAGATAGCAGATATTGGTACTTACCTTAAATGCTTGGCAGCACATTATAAAGTGTCCTTGCCTGTTGACGTCGCAGACAAGCAGCGCCCAAATTAGTGACGTCATACATCTTCAGCTCCTGCCCAAACTCTGTTGTCGGGCTCAGGACGTCTACCGCGATAGATACATCAAAACCATTCGGTCCTTCTACTGATACCCACCAATCGACGGCGGCTAACTCAGTTCGTAACTATGCATCATATTCAGCCTGTCTAAAGTTACATGACTATAACCGAAATTGGCATAGTTTCTTGCCTTGTGCTTATCTAAGCCTTTCCATGTGAGGTTGACACTTCATCTACTGCACTTTCTGTGCTGCTGATATGAAAACTCGCAACAGCTGCGAACGCATCCTAATTTGTAGCCTCATAATTTAAGTATGTTTCAAGTAAAACGACATAATATATCAGGGGGAGAAAGAGGTTTCAATGAACGAATTTCATTTTGGATGCGCATTTAAACTGCGGCCAGGGTGGCCTATGCCCGACGTAAGTAATCTTTATTGGAAGCACATCGCTGTAAACTGAGTTTGTAATTTGACATCCAAATAAGAGTGGGGTGATTACAAAGAGGGGACAAGAATATCAGGATAAAGCAAAAGTGACATGCGTGTACAGTGTAAGGGGCGCACATCGGAATGATTGGAAAATGTGACTAAGTGACTCATTTAGCAGCTAGTGCTGACCAGCACTTGATCGGTCATTTCTTGAATCACATCAAAGGCAAATTCGATGTGATCCCTTGTGGCTGAATGGTAGCACACAGCAAAGCGAATGAAGAAGATTGGCGCTGGATGATGGAATTCCGATGGAATCATATGAATACGACCATCTTCCTCGATCGCTTCATACAGTCGTTTGGTGGCATTGTTGTCTCCCTAACATAGGCATAGTTGGTAAAAAGATTACTCACAAAGTAGATTAGGTTTCCCAAGATAACTAATCAGTTAGGCAGGAAATGGAGATTTAATCTGTGAATACAGCATGCATGAGTTGTTTGTTGAGTACACCACTTTAATTTCTGGTTTTCATAAATCTGATTTTAGTTTTTGGGTCTGTTTTAGTATATAAAAATGTAGACGAATCCATTCTGTTCAATAACATTGAAAGCAGGCTAGGAGGATGAAGTCCGACAGACACTTTCATTTCGCAATGACTCGGCATTCTCATTACCAGCACGTTACAGATGTACGCAACAGAACATTCATGAATAAAGCGCTGCAAATGCGTCTGATGTTTTATGACATAACTGGAATACGCTCATTTTATTCAAGTCCTGTCCACACCAGATTTATATTTATCTGCATCTGTCTACCTGTCAGGACAGTTGTGAGGTGGCTTGAACTTCCTCTCGCTTCATCGCACGCGCCACACGTTACAAATTTGAAGTAACATATCAAACTGTTCGTCCTTTTTTCGTACATTGTACCATCAGGGATGAGCTGTTAATATACTACACATAACCGAGCAGGCATCGTCCATTGAGGACACTGCTGGCATGATCAACGTAACTTGTGGATCACCGACAGCCGCTGTGGAACACATGGCACTGATTGCATGCACTTGTTTGCTGCACTATTCTGAAGCCTCTTGTGATTCGTATCATTTATCCTGTTAGTTCAGTTTGATTTAGGTTGATGTTGATGGTTGTAACAACTCGTTCTATCAGTACTTTTATGTACCACTAAGTCTTCAAGTGTGACTATATATGTGCTCCCACTGCTACAGTAAAGGATTTAGCATTTTCATGCATTTATGGTTATGGGGCCACTGCTTCCCGTTTTCTTGAAGTGTTACTTCCTTTCGTCATGTTAGGAGGTTCATTTGAGCAAGTGTTGTCATTCAGCTTCCATAACATGCTCACAATACCAGCGGAAGTATTGAATGACCTTGGTATGTTTGGCACAAGTAAGGTTCAGTTCGGTCCAGTGAATAAAGCTACTGCGCAATCCACCTGCGTCACGCAGCAGATCTTGATGGTGGGTATAGATCCCAAATAGATACTCGGAGTCGGGAACCAGCTCGGTTTTAACGGCCACGAAATCGAGCAACAGATCTGCAGATGTATGAAAGTAAGCGCTACATGTGACAAAACTGCATGGAAATCAAGTTTCTTTTGAAATTACTTGGTAACTAAAAGACATTGCTTTAAGAAAGCTGATGTTTCACGGTAACATGAACAGCGTCTGAATTGGTGCACCACTCACCTTGATTCGAAAACAAACCAGTGCCATCCGTACCGCATTCACAATCTCAAATCGCTCGTCCTTCAGCATAAGTTCCTCGAAATATTTTGCCAGGCTGATGTGCTACACATGATCAAACGTGTGGATTCCAAAGGGAGTAACTACCTGACGAATGTAGTTTTGTAAGCGTTGTACACCATAGTGCCGAAGTACAAACCATAACTTCAATGATCGAAATTTTCTCCCAAATGAAATGTCGAAGTGCTATGCTCAGTTGAGGGCATACAAGTTGAAACAAATGAACTTACTCTGAAGTCCGGTGCTTCCCCGAAATAACGGTGCCTCAGGTAGACTGGATCAACACAAAACGACTTCATAACCCAGTTCACATCCTTATACCTGCCATCGTAAAAAGAAACGGTGTACCGACTTTGCGTACATATCTGTTAACTAGTAGGCATAAACTTGACATATTTACCAACCATAGTGACATTCTGTTTTGTATACGCATAGCGGCTGACGTTCGCTCCCACAAGGGGTTCACTGGTGGTTAGCAAAGCACGCTTGACAGCACCACAGGTTGCAGTGAAATCGACGAACTAAAGCAGAGACATGTGGATGCAAGGTACGATACAATGAACAATGAACATTCGGAGGTGGGGCACACTCCCTCGGCAAGTATATCTCATTAGTGTTTGACCTAGAGAAAAGTGCATTCTTTGCGTAAACAAGTAGATGGCTAGGTTGAAGCCTGGTTTATGATCAGACACCTCCTGTTTTCTAGAGTCCGCGATGAGAATAAATGATTCGTTTTTCCAGTTGAGACTGCATTTTGCACCAAAGCCAGTGGTCGAGTTCCCGTGGAAAACAAAAAGACCTTAACGTTTCGTGTCAAACGCTGTTACGCTTCGCATATCGCTAGGATGTGAGCATCTTACAAACCTCAGTTCTTTAAGTAAAAGTCAACTAAGCAGCAGAGATTCAAAAGATGCTTCATCTCCCATCGCTAGCATAACACAACTAAAATTTTGGACTGACATTTTTGCCTAGTACATAAACTTGTGAACCAAATGTACACCTTGTGGTTCATCTAGGGAATTCTACTGACAAGGGGCGAAAAGCACGTTATCGGATTCCACAGTCTTTGTACCGACAATAGTAGTTGAATTTCAAACCGGTCGGTTAGTCGAAACATTGTGGAGAAGTGCACCTTAGTTACCGAGTGCGAGGCACCCTACTACAAGGTGATGAACGGTACCACGTCACAAGTACCTCCAGATTGATTCTCCAAGCCAATCCCAAGTTGTGTTGCTTATCTGAAGCATACAACTGAAATCGAAAATGCTGCCCTTGGTAAGCTGTATGTGAAATTGAGGAGTAAAATTACCACCATCACCTTTCAGCCGACACATATTCCGGGTTTTCTTGCAACTAATAGATTTACGTTAATCACTTGACGAATCTCCTATATCCATTTCAAATAAATACTCATCAATGGAAACAAAAAGTTTAATGACCGTTCCCGCACACATACTTGAATCAATCAAGCAAATTGATATCGTGCCTATCGTTTCATGTATGTTGTAAGCAACCCTTTCATAGTGAATAGCTGATCGTTTGACACTGTGCTAATACGACTACCTGACTATCCGCAGGCTTAGCTTTTTATGCCCCGAAGAACGTGCGATGGCAAAACGAATAGACCGTGCTAGGTGCCATGAGGAACTGGCCCCCACATCTAGTTATAATGCTACACAAGGAAATTTCGCTTGACTTTTTGATCCTGGAACACTTCACCACGCAATTCACTTGTACTTCCCAGCGCCCATTCCGTTGAACATTTGTATTTTTGTGTGTATGATGTCTGTTGGGTATAAATTCTTCCAACATTTGGGCTGCCAGTGGTGGTATTTGGAAGAATCCAGTGGCGGCACACGCATAATGACTGGAACATCGACGAGACCAGTGCAAGCTGACAGTGTATCTGGGAGAGAAGATCAGTGCTTAGTTAGTTTCGGAGCAGTCGCTAACAACAACTCATATCGAGTTTCACACTGCTAGGCTCCAGGATCCACTGTCTCATATTCCCAAAATAAAGGTCACAGACCACGTATTGGATGCTTACCATGCGCATGAGCAGTCGAAGTTGACTAGCAGCCATTTATGCGGGTTGAACACAAACGATGTTGCGTACTGAAAAGGAATGAAAGACGCACATAGCATGGAGAATATGTTATCGTTTAAGGGTTAAGCACAGCACGTTATCCATCTTCAAGGAATTCGTGTGACACGTATATGAACTTACTTCGATACCGTCCAATAATGGGCGATATTCCGGACATATGAAAGAGGAGCCAGCGTATGCGGCGTCCACGTGCAACCATAGGTCATATTGGTTACAAACTGGTCCAAGTTCCGCCAACCGATCAAAGGCACACGATGCGGTTGTGCCAAGTGTAGCAGTACACTGGAAATAAATAATTTTTTCGGATTTATAATTATTATATGAAACATTGTGGACCTAACTGAAAAGATAAGGGTGAAACTACAGCCAAAACCAAGTTGTTGGTTAGGTCATTTCACCCTCATGTTGCTGTATTGCTTTATGCTCTAATAGTTTACTGAAAGTGAATAAAATGTATTTTATAGGTGCCTGCATCCAATTTTATTCACACTTGTACTGTAAAGCCCAGTTTCCCTGAAGGAAGACCACCTCTTCGACAAAGTGATCTTAGTTAATATAAGTTATGTCCAACTAACTGCTTTTGGAGTACCATCTTGCTATGTGGCTTCGGTGTTGTTGATCGTGAATATCCACCTTACTGAACAGTCCGTCTCGATATTGTTCTACCATATGCTGTACAAAGGTAAGTAACAATTACATTTGTTATTGCATTTCACAGTTCGAAAAATGACAGCTGTCGTCTTAATTCCAACATCATCATCGTCATCATACACGTTAGCTAGAGGTGGGGAACACCTCAGCTACTGTGCCGCAATACATAGAGAAAAGGAGAAAAAATGCAACTGGTGCAAGCCGGCTGAGTTACCGGTAACGGATGGGCATCGTTCCGGTAAGCTACCAGCCGGCTACTGTGCATCAAAAAAATTAATATGCAAAATTATATAAGGCTAAATAATGAGATCGTGCTTGGAGGGGGGCTAAGAGGGATAGGGTGGGACAAAGAAACTCACAGCACGAACGCCACTGAGGTCGACTCCTAATCATATCAGCAAGTGTGTCCAACCAAACGTGTTCATCGTCTTTCGCACCCCAACCAAGTAGCCGAGACGCTCCAACCGAGGCCAGCTCAGAAGTGAGGGCCTTCATTCCTCTGGACCAAGTCATCGCTTGGCCACCCTCCTCTTCTTCCATCCACTCCCCCGGCGCGCAAACAACGCACGTCGCGGAAGTCGGTGGGCTGGCATGCGTAACATGTGGCTGAGCCATCGGAGCCTGGGACGTGAAATAACGGTGCTGAGCGGTTCATTTCCTTTTCCTATGCCATAAACAAGGCGTCGAACACGCTCGTTGCTCACGCAGTGTTTCCATAAGATGTGAGCTAAATTGCAGAGGCACCGGTGGTCGAACGTAACTAGCCTCTTCATGTCCGCTGATCTAAGGGACCAGGTTTCACAACCGTACAGCAGGGTCGAAAGCACCGCTGCATTGTACACTCTACGCTTCAGGGCGACAGCGATGTCGTGCCGGAGCCATAAGTGGCGAATGTTAGAAAAAGCGCTTCGAGATTTTTCTATACGATTCGTGATCTCATCTTCAATCCCACGGGCGCTGATGAAACTTTCCAGATAGTTGAATTTTTGAACGACTTTTAGCTGATCCCCACCAAGGTTCAGCGTGGGATACGGTCCAGACTAATCTTGGAGGAAAGCTTTGCACTCCGAGGGTGCGAAACAAAGCCCGAAGTGACGGACAGCTAGTGCCAATCTGTCCAGTGCCGCTTGGCACGTTTGTGAGCTGTCACAGATCAGGGCAATATCATCAGCATACTCTAAGTCAAGGAGTCGTTCTCCTGGGAGTAACTCCACACATTCTAAGTCGTGTCCTGTGAACGCGATTTCCATGACTTCGTCAACAGCGAAGTTGAAGAGGAAAGGTGACAGCGGGCATCCTTGTCTCACGCTGCTGGAGATAATAAAGGGCGACGCAACTTGCCGTAAGCCCTCACTCTGCCCGAGCTACGCGCATATAATGCTCGGATAATATTCACATATTTCTCAGGTACACCTTTCCTGAGTAGACAGTCCCAAAGTGCAAGTCTATCCACCGAATCAAATGCACTTTTGATATCGAGGAACACGACAACGGTGGGCCGCCAATATATGTGACGGCATTCCAAAAACTGACGCAAGGAGAAGACGTGGTCATTGCAGCCACGACCTCGACGAAACTCGGCTTGCTCTTCACGAAGCTGGCTTTCACAAGTGCCAGTCAGTCTGGGAAGGATGACAGAGGCAAGCAATTTGGTGGCCATGGAGATCAGACTGATTCCTCTATGGCTGCCGCATTCCGATCGTGAGCCTCCCTTGAAAATTGAGACTATGACGGAGCGGCTCCAATCGGTTGGGACAGTTTCCTGCTCCCACAGTTTGCTTAGCAACTCGTGTACATCATCCACAAGAGCAGGTCCCCCGAGTTTGAAGAGGGCTGGAGGTACATCAACTGGTCCCGCGGCTTTATTTAACTTCAACAGTTTGATCTCACTTTCGTCTTCTGGGCGAGAGGGTGGATCCAAAGGGACAGCCCAGGGAGTGGGGCGATCACTGGTCGGCGAGAAATCTAATAATTCCGAACGATTAAATTGCCTTTTAAAGTGCTCAGCCCAACGTTCCAGGCGTTTTGATAAGTTGTGGATAGGCTGTCCACTCTCGTCACGTAGTTTTACTAACACCAGGTATCCTGCTGCCCGTTTCCCGTATAAGACGGAATTACTCACGATGGTTACCAAGGGGCAGCGGCCATTTCCATCTCTGCTGCACGACGAGAACAACCAGGATTCGCGGTTTCTCTTCAGGTTTGCATGGAGTTTCGTCCGGAGCTCTTTGCGAGTTTCATTGTTTTCTCTTCCATCAGGAATATGCCAGCGAGCATCTATAAGGTCCATAGGCTGTGAAGAGACCCAATGTTCACGCTGGCGATTAGACATACAACATGAAGATTTTCCTGCTGCTAATAAGATCTGATGAATATGAGACCAGTGACCTTCAAATGCATCCAGTGAGCGTTTATCCAACTCGCATAACAGCGCACTTCGATACGCATTCAGAACAGCTGGCTTCGCCAGTTGGCTGCTGTCAATGCGTCCACAAGGTCGTCTTGGGCGTCCGCCAAAACGCATCCGCAGGTCAGCACATACAAGTGCATGGTCGGTGTCCACACCTGTGCTCCAAATCGAGAGACAGTTCTGGACGCAGCCTCTCCAGCGGTAATTGATAGCAATGTGATCGATTTGCGTCCATCGCTGGTTCGAGGCTGGTGGGCGCCAAGTCACCTATCGGCGGATGCTGTGTCGGAAATTAGTGCTCGCAAGAAATAAGCGAGCATCCTCACACAAATGAAGTAACCGCTCACCGTTATCATTACGGGAGCCTATACCATGTTGGCCGCCCAGATGCGGCTCCTCTGTGGATAATTTTCCAACTTGAGCGTTCAGATCCCCAGCCAGCACTACAGTATCCGAGCTTCTTCTGTGGTTAAGCAGCTAGTTCAGTTGACGATAGAAGTCGTCTTTTACCGAGTAATCGCTACAGTTTGTCGGTGCATAGGCAGCGATAACGAATAGACACCTTTAAGTCCCACGCGACTTCGAAGTTTTGAACGAGCCAGCCAATCGGACCACACACATCCGACTACTGATTGGAATCCAATCAACCAGAGTAGCTTCAGCCTGGGGACTCAAGAAAATGCGAACACCAGCTTGGCCGGTGCTCGAAGCTGCATCGGCACCGGATAGGCGCAATGAGAAAATACTGCGTGCGTCACCTGAAGGGGATCACAGAGTGAGTACAGATCTCGAGTCTTGCAGGCGGGTTTCCGATCAGCAGCAGATAACGATCGAGAGAGTCTCTAATGTTCAGGCAAGTGCTGCCTGTTGACCGATCTGAAACAATGTGCGAACATTGAGGCATGCCAATCTGAAGGATGTTTGAGAGCTCCAAATGGAAGCCGATGAACTGGAATGGGTCGCTTGGTTGGACATGGACCTGTTGATAGGGCAGGAATGACGCTCCGCGTTCACATGTGAGTTGAAACTAAAAGACAAGCGACTATTGAAGCAAGGTGAGGGAGGGCCGAGAATTGGAGGGTTGAAAACAGGGGGGCTAAAAGTGAAGCTGGAACGGGACGATAAGGGTGAAAAAGCGCAAGAAGGGGAATAAGAAGACGGGAAGACTTGAGCAGTAGCATCCAAACCCCTATCCCCCCTGCTCGCTGCAGCAGATAGGACACCGTTGATTATGCTCTGCGGTGGCCAGAGCATCATAAATTTGTTTGAAGTGCAATTCATTGTATTGCGTGGGCAGGATACTGTCAGGTTGCACAGACCTAGACAGAAGAACGATTAGGGTTCTCAACCAAAGCCTTTGGTTCAAAAAACCTGTCCGCAAGGCAGCGGGTTTGGCATTGGGCTACAAGGAGTCCGTTTTAAGGAATAAGGTGCCATCTAATTCCAACCCCCAACCTGGAGGATCAGGAGACTGAGTTTGTCTGGCCTCTAACCATTGACCAATCTGGTATGAGTGGCTCTGAAGGTGCAAAAATGCACCACCCAGGATAACTCAATGGATCACTGAGGCACACAAACCGTTGCACCACCGTAAGTTCCAGCCTCATTGCGATGGCCTAATTCCAGCAACTAAATCTTAGAAACAAAAGTAGCGAACAAGCTTGCTTTTAGGGTTTCATCATCAGGCTAAAACAAGCACGATAAATCAGGATAGAATAGGCACAAGGGGATTAAATTCGGTGTCACTGAAGCAAAGTAACTAATCGATAGTACTAGGTGATTGGTTTGATTGATGTGAAATTAGGTGAACTGGCGTCACTGCCATTGTTAGCCGCGTTGACCTTGGGCCAAGTTTGGGTTAAAGTATTCACGAGTCTTTTCTGTTCATATGGGTCTGCGTAGTAGAGCTGAATTGCAATCGCCTCTGCTGTCGACAGCATATGGCATCTGACTGCCATTGTGTGACTTCCGGGGACACAGCAAACTGGTGTGAATGCGCAATGCGAAATAATTTGATGGTCGGAGTCTACCAGGTAAGACTATACTGCACTTATTACATTCTTCCTTGCTCCGCTGTACTGTCAAACTGAACAATGCTCTCGATCCCTAACGGACAGTCGCCTGGTCATTTTTCCAATATACCTTGCTTGACCCGAGCAAGAGAAATTATACACACAGGAGGAGGTCTGCGACCCAGGTATCCTGTCTTTAAGTTGTTGGC